GATTGATTTGGAGCACCTTGGGAAGAGGAAGGCGGAGAAGATTCCGACCACAGTAAGCCAAGCGAAGAGGCCCAGGACACATGATTCACTTTAGGGAGGCGAGCAGGGTCGGGGCTGTTGTGCCAAGTGTGGGAGGACCCATACAAAAGGTTGTCGGGAGACAGGGAGGGGATGTTTCAGTTGTGGATAGATTGATTATTTCAGTAGGGATTGCCCTCGAGAGTCGGTTTTGGTATGTTTTTACTGCAACCAAGTGGGCCACAAGAAGGCCGATTATCCGGAGTTGAGGAGAGGAGCAGCGAGGACACCTGCTTTAGCCACTTTGAGGATTAATGATGGATGCGAGGGTATTGTGGAGGTCCTGTGGCGAGGAGCCGAGCATTGCATTCATAGGTAGAGGAGATCCGAGTTCCATCTGTCGATGTCGTAGGTGTGTATTGCATCCTTTTCTTTCATTCTTTTTATTAATTATATTTATGATTGTATATTGTGTGTGAGATGATATGTGGGTGTATCTAAGTCTTCGCCTGGGATTATATTTCTTCGTGATGGTCTGGACATCTTATTTTGAGAATCTTCATATGCCATTTTGCATACCGAGAGTCGTGTTTAGGGAATGTTTGGGTGAGCCAGATTTGGATTGTGGTGAGGGAGGAATTGGCTATTGTCGGAACACGCATGAAGTAAGAAAGGATCAACAGTGATTCAATCTTTGGTAGTTTCAACAAGGATTTAGGAAATTCGCCAGGTGGACATGCTAGGTTCAGATGCAGGGTAGGTAGGGGTCCTCAAGGTTTCAAAGCAATAAAGAATGTGTTGATCATGGGCGTGAGATCAGTAGTTACTAAGTTCATACCTTTTATTGTGGTCAGTCGCAGCAGGTTCACGTTGGAATTGATCTAAGTGCATGTAGGTCGTGGAGTCGGTTGGGTAACCATTTCCACGTTTGAGATGTTGTTCTTCATCATTCAATAAGTCGTCAAGGGCTTGTGGTGGTTTTAGTGGAAAGTGCGTAGGATCTTGGGATTTGATAATGCATTGGGGATGATCGCCTGGTCTTCGAAAGTATAAGCATTTGGCTTGAAAGCTAGCTATTGTACAACTCAAGTTGTCGACTGCTGCTATCTATAGGAGATGAGCAGTGGTAACATATCACTTTTAAGCAATGGGAAAGTGTTTTTCGCATGGGTTGTTTCAGCAATTGGGCATTGTCAGCAAAAATCGAATGGTATCTATTCGCAAACTTTGAGTACATCGATCCTTCGGTAGGTGAGTTGTTAAATCGATGATCCGTCCGTTCTGGTCAAGGGTTATAGTTCTACGCCACGAGCTGAAGTGGCTTAAGGATTTGGAGTTGTATTATGAGAAGTAATTGTGATTATTGAGCTCATTGGAATTTTGGGAAGTGTTCATTTGGTTTTGGAATGTGCGTGATCACTAAGTGGAATGTGCGTGATCACTAAGGTGGTCTAGTAATGGAATGCTAGTTCTTGCAAGCTCAGGTTCTGGACAAGGCTGAGTTGTAAGGCTGAGAGATGCATTGAGAATCCAACAATTTTTGGTGAATTAAGAGAGCGCGGACGAATTCAAGTGGGGGAGAATCGTTTGGTCTAAAGGTTGCTCAGGACTGAACATTCAGGTTTCATTTCACATCAGTAGTGACGCAAGGTGGTATGTGGATGGATCCAGGTTGAGGGTTGTACTAGGACCTCTCTGCCTGTTCTTGTCTGATGAAGGCCTTAGGGTTCGAAGCATAACCCGAATACCTAGTTGGGATATAGTCAGGTGCGGGTTTGACTCAAGATGATTTTGGTTTGAATGGTAGATAAGTGGTAAGACCATGGGCGACGACCATGGAAGAATAGGAGTGTTGTAAGATTGTGGGGTGTCCGTAGCATTCACTATATTGGTAGATGGTATAGGAGTGTTGTAAGACTGCGGGGTGGCCGTAGCATTCACTAGGTTGGCAGGTAGTGTGGTAGTGTTGTAAGACTATGGGGTTTCCGTAGAATTCACCGGTTCTTGAGTAGCTGCATGTGCATGGCAAACATATTTTTTGGCTTTTAGTTTCCTCTATGTGAGATTAGACCACGGCTGAACAGGTTGTGAGACTATGGGAATGCCAGAACATTCGTGGAATTAAGGAAGGTTGTGGGCCATATGAGGCCGGTTGGGATATAAGACTATAGTTGGACATGTAGCATTCACTGTTAGCAAATGGAATTGGTGGCATCACGTGTGATGATTGGTTATGTTCGGTTGGATCGGAAGGGTTGTTAGAGACATGATGGCGAGTTAGATAGCACAACTCTTGTCGGATAAGACCCCCGTTGGAAGTCATGTAGTCCGATTGCGTGAGTCTATTAGCCTCAGTAACCGGCTGGAAATCCCGTTTATCGGGTAATGAGTCGACCTATTCTTCTCCATTGCAACCAGGGGGAAATGAAGAGATATGGGGAGGAACAATGGGACTACGGGAAAATGAAGATGGATGAAATGTGGGTTAATACAAAGAAATTAAATCTATTAAAAAAATTAAAAAGTTAACTTAGTAGGATTTTACATATTTTGAATGATGTAAAGGATAAACTGAATTCAAAATCAATACCCAATCACAATCATTTATAGAAAATATTTATTGGGGATCAAAAGTATTTTTTTTTTTTGACAAATTACAAAGATCAAATTGGAAATTTATTCAGGTAAAATAAAGTAAATCAACTTAGGCCGAACGAAGCGTCGCGGGAAGGAGGTACGAGAGGAGTTCCCGCACATTGGAACACTTCACCTTCCCTGTAGAAAAGGAGTTGCGGGAAGGGAGTGGGGGATAGAGACCACACATTCTCTCTCCTGTTTTGATTTATTAGGCTTTTCTTTTTTATTTTATTTTTTTCAGTTTTTTAATATTTATTAAATTATATACCTATCAAAAAATTATATCAAAATTCATGGTTTTAATTCCCTACAAATTGAATATAATATTTGTATGAAATATATATATATTTTTAAAATAAATAAAGAGTGAAAGATGTTTACCATATACACCTTGGGTTTTGGTGAGAGAAAGAAAAGTAAGGAAAAGACTGACGTGGCAGACAAAAAGTAAGGAATCCTTCCCGCACTCACCCTCGGGTCTTAGTACGATTTTATAGATTTTTGATGATGTAAAAAAAATAGACTGAATTAAAATCAAAACACAATCACAATCATTTACGGAAAAGATTTATTTGAGATCAAAACTAAAACTGACTTTACATATCAAACTAAATATTTAGTTATTTACCGATTGCAATGCTCATATGTATTTTATTGCGATTTTCAGACCACCAATGTTCAATTCTATTTCATGTGATCAATGCGACTAAACTCATATAAAAAATTTTCAAAGGTTTAATATCCATTTCAAGATGAAGTTGAAGAGGAATCCATTTGACTTCCAAATGTAACACTTATTTTTCGGAAAGATCGGAAAAAATTGTATAACATCAATTACTGACTAGTTAATGCAAAATGTATTCCAATTACTGACTAGTTAATGCAAAATGTAGAATAAATGATTTCAAAAAACTTTGTTTTGTTGGTTGGAATTTAGTTTCAATATTGTAAAACTACAATCAATGAAGCAATCTTTTAAGTTTTTTTTTTAAAAAAAACAAAGTCTTATTTTTTTTTACAGACTGTAAACTTTTGATCAACATCTACATAAATATGGAAAACAAAGGTTATTTTACCTCTTCAAAAACAAACATCAACTTACATCATCATAATACTAATAACTAAATATACTCAAAATATGAACTCAAGATAATAACAAAACCATAACCACACAAAAAGACAATTAGTCATGCTATACAGAGTTTGACTATATTTTTACGACTATATTTTTACCAAAACAGAAAAAGTTTTAATGTCAAAAGGATTAATTCTAACCCAGAAACTGATACAAATTTTGTAAAGAAATCTGAAGTTATATAACAAAAATACTACAAAGGGGTTAAGATGGTGCCAAATTTCAAAACATTATCGAAATCAATATCTTAAAGCCAATAGGTTTGAAATGAGAAGTCAAAATGTCTGGATTAAAGTCGAAATTGTACACAATTTTCTTATGTTTTGTAGTAATTTTTTCTTCAATGCACAAGTTTACTGGAAGCCAATATTAACAAAAACTACAACATGACAACGAAAAAAAACACAGAGAAGCGGTGCAATGAAGATTAACTAATACACTTGCAACCAATATACATAACAAGTTAATGGTAAAAGTTCTACAAAAACCGAAAAGCAATTCAACGACTACAGTTATAGCTTTCCATCTTTTAGTATTAGGTTTGATTGTTAGGTCAATATTAAAATAATATTGTCAACTAATCAAAACAAACAAGGCTCAAAATTAATGTCCAAATAAAACTAAAGGAATTTGTGATATTTATTATAAGAAATGTTTTGCCTCTAGGCGTTTTCGCTTAGCCTCTCGAAGCGTAAACTTCGAGGTGGTATAAAAAATAAATCTAAAATATTATATAATAAATAAAAATATGTATAATAAAATTACATAGAAAGTCATGAGTAAATAGAAAACATGTTTAAAGAAATATAAACAACATTGCCATTCTGCATAACTAAATAGAATATTACACGTATATTAACAAAGTTATGACAATTTAAGTGAATCGTCTACGGTAACCAATTAGGTTATTTATGTCAAAAATTACTTTTTTGTTTTATTTAGGTAAAAAGGTAAAAAAATCAACAAAAATATTATGTTTCTCTTCTTTTTCATTGTTTTATAAGAATGCCTCACCCCGCCACACGCCTTGAGGCTCCCTCGATCAGCCTCCGCCTCCGCCTCCGTTAGACCATATGAAGCACCGCCTCAAGTACGTTTTTCCACCGCTTCACGCCTCCTATGATTTTTTTAAACTATGATGAATAACCACACTTTTAGTACTTATGTAAGAGACACAGATGATGTGAAAGGAGATGACATACCTTTTCTACTAGATCACCGTTATTGTCAAATATGATGGGTTGGAGGTTGTTTTAAGATCTTTAATCTTCAGGCAAGCCTCGATGCAAAGTCTTTTAAGGCAGGGGAGGTGTGGTAAGACCTCTGACAATGATTCCACATCCTTAAAACCATTGAGCCATAGAGAAACGAGAGATGGTGGAAGAAGAAAAGATGATGAAGGAGTAATAGTATTCCTCACATCGTCTGCCACCGCAAATGAAACCACTCGTGAATCGTAGCCATATAACTCTAGTTCAACTAGTGAGGTTGGAAAATTCTGGGGGCCCCATTCTGACATGGGCTTATTTAGGCCTCCTATCGTTAGTTTGGTCAAATTAGGAGGCCACACCCCACAAGGAAAGGAATAGTCCATACTTGGACAATGAGTTAGCCACATTTCTTCCAAAGATGTGAGACTTTGGAAATGCTCATGAGGAAATGACTTTAGATTCTTGCATTTATCGATCTCAAGACATGTTAGGTGAGACCTGGGGAGAAAATGGAAATCTTTGATTATCAATTCATTTAGAGGAGATGGGTGCTCCTGCACTATCGAGAAGGTCAACGAAGTCATTGAATCACAACGATCTATATGCAACCTCTCAATAGTATTTGGACAATCGTAACTCTCCAGTGTGTCACAACCATCAAACTTCACTTCTTTAAGAGATTTCATTCTAATCCCAATATTAAAGTCTTTCTCGGATGATGAAATCAACTTTTTACAATGAATTACTTCCAACTTCTGTAAACTAACAAGTCTCTTGGATGCCTCTGATTCTCGTTCCCACAAGTATCTCAGTTCATCACATTTATAAATATAAAGATGTTCAAGTGCCCCAAGATGCAGTAAATCTTCTCCATATAGTTGGGCAAATCCTTTAACATTCACCATTTTCAATTCAACAAGCGACGAGGACAAACCAACCATGCTTTTTAACACTGCATTGGAACATCCTGTTATAGATAAAACCCGAAGTGAAGGTATCAATCCGATTGCAACTTCAGCTAGTTCTGGACAATTGGCTATACAGATCTCATGAAGACGAGGAAATAATCTAGGAGTTTCATGTTCCTCGCCACTATTAATCGACCATCTCTCCCAACCTTCCATATCTTTAAATTTCAGAACTTCAAGCGATGGAAATGCAATGCCAATAAAAGAAGCAGTGGGTGCAAGTAACTCAAAACCCACAGTCTTCACCTCATTCATACTTTCAACAACCAATTCCTTAAGAGACCATAGAATTCCAAGTGTTGGTAGTTGTGTACTACTACAACCACATAATGTAAGCTCTGTTAACTGATCAAACAAGGGATCGCCAACCCACGTAGGAAATCTCATTCCCATGTTATTCCAAATCTTGAGGGTTTTTAACCTAGGATTAGGCCTTAGTTCTTTAAGTACTTCATATTCAATAGACTCATCCCGAGAATCATCAAACACATGATAACTCCATTTCATCTCCAGAACTTCAAGACCCTTCTTTTGATGTAAGTTGGCATCCTTTGCTTGCATTGGATCTATCACTTTCTCCAGCCCAATAATGGAAAGCTGGCCTTGAAGATCCGTTAGGCCCTTAAGGTCGGATATTTTGAACCCGTCACCTTCTTCAATAAAGACATTGGGTAGAGTTTGTAGACTCGTCAACCCACCGATCCCTAAGGGTGTCTTCTTCAAATACGGAGTCTTACTTACGTCAAGATGTCGCAGGTTTATTAACTTTGCAAAACTTTTTGGCAAGCTAGATAACTGATAACAGTTATGAACCAACAAGGTCTGTAGATTATAAAGGTCACTCACTTGTTCTGGCAAACATGTGATTCTAGTAAAAGAAAAATTAAGGTACCGTAGATGCTTGAGACTACCAATGGATTCTGGTATCTTTCTGATTGAAAGAGAACCTTGCCATATGTAATCAACCGGAGTCAAGCCCATGACACTTAGCACCCTCAGGAAGTGTAGTTCAGGAAGTAATTCAAGAAGAACCTTGTCCAAAAAGCCATTGTTTTCAAAACCAGCCGACGTGAGTAAGAAAGTTCGCAAGCGTTTAGCTCTATGTAATTCATTAACCTTTCTATATGATCTAGAACTTGGATCTACCAATGAAAAGTGACGAAACTTATCAAAAGTTTCATTCGTGTAGGATACATCCACCTCACCATCCAATCTAAAGGAAAACTCTCCTGCAACACTTGTGGCCAGGTCATTTATTAGGTCATGCATTGTATATCCTAATTCGTCATTTGTTGAATGTTGAAAAAAGGACCTTGACTTTAGCTCTTCAAAATACTCCTGACCTAAACGCTCCATTGACTTGTTTCCTTTTGATTGGGACAAAAATCCTTCGGCTACCCACAGTAGAACTAACTTATTCTTGTCAAACACATAGTCCTTGGGAATTAAGGAACAATATGCAAACAACTGCTTCAGGTGTGGAGGGAGATGATAGTAGCTTAGTCTTAGAGCTGGAAGAATCTTATTCCCATCCTCAATATCCCATGTCTCACTCTTCAACAACTCCTCCCATTTATCGCCATTTTTATTTCCCTTCACGACCCTCCCAACTGCTTTCAAAGCCAAAGGCAATCTACCACATTTGTGAACCATGCCTTCACCAAGCAACTTAAGTGTTGGATGTTTGTCAAAGTTTTTTTCTCCTAACGCGTGTTGAGCGAATAATGATAGAGCATCTTCATTTGACAAAACACCTAGAGGGTAAGTTTGTTGCGAGTCCATCACTGATGCAACCTTCGTACTCCTGGTTGTGGCAATAACTCTACTTCCAGATGCCCCTACAAGAAGAGGACTTTGGAGGAGTTCCCACTTTCTATGGTCTTCGTTCCAGACATCGTCTAGAACAAGTAGGAACCTCTTCTTTGAAAGTTTTTCTTTGAGGGCCACATGAAGCAGATCCAGATTAGCAAAATCTTTGTTTTGACCTGTTACTGCTTGGAAGATAGCCTTGCTAATGTTAAATACATGGCACTCTTCAGAAACACAAACCCATGCTCTAAGTTCAAAGTGATCCTTCACTTTCTCGTTGTTGTATAAAACTTTAGCAAGAGTGGTTTTTCCTATCCCACCCATTCCAACTATCGACACTACGCTCACACTGTGATCACATTCTTCATTTCCCAACAACTTTTCCATCAATGCCACTTTATCCCCTTCCCGACCCATGATTTTGGACTCATCGACCAATGAATTTTCCTCCAGTCTTTCTATCGTATTTGACCTTTCAACATTTACATTCAAACCCAAATCATTTTTCTGGTCAACAAGATCACGCAATTTGTTGGTGATTTCATCTAGCTTAGAACTCATCTTTCGACCATAAAAACTGCGAGGAGTGAAATTAGTACAAAAATTTGGCAAGAACTTCATTACCTTACTAGTGCTGGTGCTGGTGCTGGCATGAGATTCTTGATTCAACTTGCGTCGTATAGCTTCGGTGGCCAAATCATCGAGTGCATCGTCTATGTCGTAAGCCAAATCCTGGAGATTGTTCACCCACAATTGAACAGATTTCTCTTTTATCTGCTTCTGGCTTGCATCAGCAAGCACAGCTTTGATCAGGGGCAGGTTTTTCTTCCATTTGTTCAGCTGAGAATCGATCCCTTCCGATTGAGCCAGTTTCATCAAGTCACCAGAGATCAGCTTCTCACACAGCACTGTGATGACGGCGCTAACAACGATTTCAGCCATTGAATTTTGGAAAAGGAAAGATATTTTCTTTATTGAGGGTTTTGATTTCTAAGGGATGAATAAAAGTTGCTGATAAAAGCAAAAGGGTAGACTGTATATATGAAAACTTATGTATTTATAATTCTGCAGATTGGAAAACGAGGAATATTTGCAGATAAAAAGGAAAAAGGTACATCGGTGCTGGCGTGGACTACGTACTCTTCAAAATATTCTCGATATCAATCATATTGAACAAAACACTGCCATATCCTCCTATATATTTACAAAAGCGATGATAATATTTATAACCAATCATCTATTTTAACTGTATTTAAAATTCTTTTTTTAGTTTAATATCTAGAAAAATAATCTGCTTTGTATTCGTACCTGTAGCAGGCTTAAGATTTACATTCTTTGCCACTAATTCTCTTTTTTTATTACCATTTAGGTGTTGAATTTTTAAATTCTTTTTAAAAGTTTGTTTTTAGTAATATTACTGTCTTGATTTACTTTTATTCTCAAAAACAAGTTTCTTTCTTATTTTTAATCTTTTTATAAATTCATTTGTAATATTTTGTTTATGTATTAGTTTTCACAATTTTCTACAAGTCTTATTGCCTATAAGTTTTAACACCAAAATTTGTTTTGGTTTTAGAATCAAATGTTGTTCAAGAAACGCATAAAGTTTCTGTAAAAAGTTTAGTATACCTCACATTTTGTGATGGTAAAGAAAAGCATAACCCCTAAAATACAAAAGTCCTCCTTATGGTTGCAACCCAAAAAACCACCTTACAAGAACAAGTAGGATTCATTCCTACAAAGATCCTCGTTAATCTTCCGATGTTTCCCTTCTCTTTCTTACTTAGGGCAAGCTCTCATACGCTGTGTAAAGAGAAGAGAGTTTTTTAATTGTGAAGTTACAGTTATGGTCCCTGAAGTTTAGACATTGTTACATTTCTTACCCTAAACTCAAATCGTCTAATCATCTTGCACTTTTAGAAATACCATAATTAAACCCTCACTTTATAATTTGACGATTGACTTAAAATTACACAGATGGTCCCTGTGGCTTAAGGTAATCTGCGTGTTTGGTCCCTAACATTTTTTTTTAACTCGGGCCGTCCTTACTTTATATTTTTGTTGCACGCTTGGTCCCTATCTGTACTAAAAATATTATTTTTCCCTTATAAGGATTTTTTATTTTTATCATTTATTAAAAAAATAATAATTAAATTTACGGTAAATTACACGAATGGTCTCTATGGTTTAGGTTAATCTGCGTGTTTGGTCAAACACCTCTTGTGCAACTCAAGCGGACTCCATATTTCCAGCACCAATCACAAAGTTATATCCAAATTATAGTATCCTATATAATCAATACAACATCACACGTCATGTACAGTTAATACAAACACAACTCACACAAGAGACCTGAGAAAATAGAGAGAACCAATAACAACAGAAAGAGAATCGAAGTGGGGTAGAAGAAAGGATTGGAATTTGTTTTTTATTCATATGATGTTACCTGGAAGGAAGTTTCACAGATGACACCCTCATTTTCGATTATAAATGTAGCTCGGTGGAGTCCATTGTTTTCGGCGATGGTTGGATCGACCAATATCACCGGTACTTCACGAGGTTGGAGGGCTGTAGGTGCGTTAGAAGGATGTGGAGTAGATAGGTGGCGGTGGCTGGTTGTCACTGAAGTTTTCCGGCAAGAGAAGACGGATACAGAATCAACGATGGTATCCCCGGCAAGGTGTGAGGTTGGTTGTCAGTGGAGTCGGCGTTAGAGAGAAAAGATGCAGGGATGAAGAATTAAAGATGGGTTGCTTTAGGTTTAAGTCTTTTTTTCTTTTTATAATTTGTTTTAATCTATTTATGTTATTTATATAATAAAACAAATAAATTAGAAAACTTAGAAAAATTAGGAAAAACAATTTATTAAGGGCAGTATAGTCATTTTATCTCGGACAAAGACCAAACGCGTAACAAAAATATATTTTAAGGATTGTCCGAGTTAAAAAAGTTGTTAGGGACCAAACATGCAGATTATCCTAAACCACAGGGACCATTCGTGTAATTTACCCTTTTATTAAATTACTTTAAGTTATAGTTTCCCTTCGTGGCTTTTAATACTCTTTAGTCTTTATTAATGTCAAACTAGATGAGGGACCGCATTGCAAGGTCTGGATTTGTGAACAGGTTTAGTCTTTATTAATGTCAAACTAGATGAGGGACCCGCATAGAGATCTTGTGATTCAACATCAGCCACATATTTCTCATTTTCCGCTATAACGCTTCAGCGTACCGGCAGCTACGTGGTATGCCTAATCATAAATGATTATATGGCATAGGGATATAATCATATATGATTATACTATGGTGGTTGGTAGGGGAGGGGGTAGTGACAGAGGTGGTGGTGGTATAGTTAAAGGAGGTGGCAGTAATGTGGTCGGTGGTGGTATATATATATATATATATATATATATATATATATATATATATATATATATATATAGGTGGTTCATGCAAGCATTAAGAAACCGACTGTGATGAAGTTAGTTTCTTAAATTACATATATAACTTCTTGTAATATTTAATAAGTGTGTGTGTGTTTATATATATATATATATATATATATATATATATATATATATATATATATATATATTATTGGGTTTTTATTCAAAATCTAGTTTCAAAAACAAGAAATTTAGCAACAGAAGACTTAGAAATTTTTGAATAACATAAACAAGTTAAACCCACCAAGGATCTTATTGCAAAGTTTGGAACGAAAACAAGCAGCAAATAAGAAGATGAATAAATAACAGCCTTTCTAGTTCTTTGGATCCTCTTGGGAGGCTTGAAAGTTGATGAAGAATGATGAACTTTAGAGACACCAACAAGAAGCCAACTTGATGTAGATGCTAGTCTAAAACTCTTAACTCTTAAGCTTGAAGTTTATAACCAAAGTATGAACTTCAAGAGAGTATAAAAGCAAGTAATATCTTCATGAGTTAAGAAGAAAATGAGAGAGAGTAACATTCCTAGCATGTTATGGTTTTGTGCATGTTCAAGCCAAAAGAACGAAAGCTTCACTCTCATATATATAACATGCATAATATACACGAGTCTTTAACTATTAAGCACCTATGCTTCTACTAGCTAGATTTGTTCCACATGCTTCTCATTACTTACATTAAATAAGTATAAGACCATGCTCTTCTTTTGAATAAACAATTGAAAGCACCATGTCTCTCATTATTTTACATTGACCTATCTTAAAAGCCATATTCTTCCTTTCTTACTCTTATTTTATAAAATAATAAAAGAAAGAAGACAAAGCCTTTATATTTTATAAACCAAGTTTATAAAATATAAACTTTAACTTTTTTGTAAAAGACAAAAAGAATTCATCTAGTCTAAAATGTTGTGCATGACTTATTAATTCATACCATATAAATTATATATAATATTACTTGCTAATGAAAATTATTATTTCCTAGAAATAAATAATTTCCAATTTAATTATAAGAGTTTATTGAATATTTATTAAAATCAATTTCTAATAAATAATCAATTATATAAAGTTGTTGTTAGTGTGACCCTTTAGTATCATATGTTAATTAGCAATATCACTTTAATATGATTCTTGAGAATATTAGATCTTTCAATCTCTCACTTGCGCAAGATTCATATTAGACTGATATAGACAGTGGTGAACGTCTAACAACATTTCACTGCCCCGATCAACATACAACTTTATGCCATTCTATCAACGCCCAATTCCTAAAAAGTTTCAAGCTACAATTGATGTATAAGGTAAGTTTATCAGTTATCCTTTTGTCACAGACATCATGTTGAACATGAGATATGGATCGTGATCAATCTCATTAGGTGTTCAACTTTTGTTAAGGCGCCTTGGATGTCTAACTCTAAACATATAAGAGGAACAAATCCCATCTTGACTACATAAGCCTCTTGCATAGTTCACACCATACCTGAAAATGGATTTTATAACTGCCCGGTTAAGGACCAGCGTTTGACCATATCTAAGCACAACATTCCCTACACTTAAGTCCCACTATGTATCTCAGGTGTTAAGGATACAAATATAGTACCTTTTAATCAAGTATCATTCATGATAGCGATCCATGGGATGATCTTGATGAGGGTCAGTTCGATACTAGTCCGCTAACAAGTACCTATGAAACTTGGTTACAACCCATTGTCTACCTTTATCTAGTCAAAGTCAACCAATCCAATTCATATTAGTCTTACTTCATAATTTCTCCCACAATTATAACCTACTGTGAACTTTTAGAATAATAACATTATTCATGGATTAAACATGTTAATATAGAACACAACAAGTATTGATGTTATGATCATATCCTAGTATATCAAAACATTATATAATAGTTGTTGTCATAATGTTCCAATATCTAAATACTAAATCCAAATCATAATCCCATTTCTAGAATAATAAAGTCTTATAATTGAAGTGTGACCATTCATACTTAGCTTTAGAAGAAAGGCATAATTAATGGGTTCGACTAAAATTAATTTTTGTGAATTATGCAAATACTATCATCTCCATATTTGACTTTACTCTAGGTATAGTTAAATATCTTGGAGTATATGATTGGTGTTCTTTCATGACATAGAGTTTCTTAGCTTGATTAAGTATACTCAAGAAGTCATAAAAATTTCTATGTGATTTCTAGAATGACATAAATCAACATAGTTTTTCAATGAAATCATTCTTCCAATCATACTAGATTTCAACTTATAAAGCATTGTATTCTTATTTTGTAGTATATTGTGTCATTTTGTTTTTGTTGGACCTCATTCCAACAAAACTTACTTTTCATCCCATAATGAAGTCATAATCCAATTATAATTCATAATTACCCATATTTGCTTAGAAATCAGAATCTTATGTAGCCCGTTACATGAAGATTTTATTCTAAACTAATTGTATCATATGCATTCTCTTAGTTCTTCTAAAGTACTCA